ATGAATTTGAAAAAGAATTGTTTCTCTTTGGTCAAGGATGTCTGTATGTGTGCAACACACACACACACACACACACGCACGCACGCACACGCACCAGGAGAGTGAAATTAAACATTTTCTGAATGTTTGAGCCCAAAAGATTTCCCCATCACTGCTGTAACAGGTGAAGCCAGCTTTCCCTATGAATGCCGTTCTCACAACCACCTTGGCAAAACTGACCCGCAATCAGCAACACGGCTGGGACTCAGCTTGGACTGGCAAGCCTGCAAGTTGGAGGCTGGTGTGGTTGCTACATTAGACCCACAATAGCACACACAGAGAACCCCGCTGGCCCATGCCAGGGCTGGCAAGATAGGTGTGCCCGCACCCCCCCCACCTGCCACCTGATGGGGGAGGGGGGAGGTTTTGTTGCACGGTGCCCACCAACCCAAAGCCCCATGTGCCTTCTTGGCCGGGGTGGGCACTGGGCAGTGGGTGTCCATCTCTCTCTCTGAAGTGGGGAGGGCCAGGTTGGCACCAGCGGAGCTAGAGACGGCTCCTCCACCTGTGCCTTCCCTTGCCCAGGGTCCCCCCCCCAAATCGGTGCTTGGCTACTCCGTGTCACCGCTTTGACAGGCGGGCACCGAGACGGGTGTGGGGCGGCGATGGGCGCAGCAACCTGGGCGCCTCTTCTTGCTCGCCTTCTTCCATGCCTCCCGCCCGCCCAGGCAGGGGAGGGGGCTGGATCCGATTTCTCCCCGCCCTGCCACTCCGATGATAAGTGGAGAGACCCCCCCCGAATTGGAAGAGGGTGGGGGTCCTTTTTCCTCAGCTGGCTCCCTCCCCTCCTCCGACGTCGGTGCTGCCTTGGCTGCGGGTCTCAAGGGCAGGCGAGGGAGACGCATTTGCAACCAGCCGCCCACGCTCCACTGCTGGGACGGGGGAAGTGGAGGACCCGTCACCCCAACCTTCCCCCTTGCCAGGCAAGGAGGCTGCAGGGAGGTCGCCTAACGGCCAGACTGGACGCGTGGCCGGAGAAGGGCCAGAGCAGCCTCCGGTGCCAGTGGGGTGACGCGCGTGGTGGGAAGGCGGCCATCCAGCCTGCTCTTCCTGGCAGCGGCTGCTCCTGCTCCTCTCTCCCTTCACGCGGCCTCCTGCCTCTCTCCTGGCCAGAGCAGCGCCGCACCCTGCCAAGAGCCACCGCCGGGCAGCTTCACGTGAGTGAGTAACTCCGGCGGTGGGAATCGGGAGGCTTCGGATGGGTGGCGGCACTTCTTGGACGGTCTTCGCAAGGGAAGCGCCGCTGCCTACCCGAAGCCTCCCGATTCCCACCACCGGAGTTACTCATGTGAAGCTGCCCATGGTGGCTCTTGGCAGGGTGCAGCGCTGCTCTGGCCAGGAGAGAGGCAGGAGGCCGCATGAAGGGAGGGAGGAGCAGGAGCAGCCGCCGCCGGGAAGAGCAGGCTGGACGGCCGCCTTCCCACCACGCGCGTCGCCCCGCTGGCACCGGCAGCTTTGCCGCCCACCCGAAGCCTCCCGCAGGAGAGCGTGGCGGCGGCAGCTGTTTCACCTCGCGCAGAGAACTTCCATTCAGTCCCGGAGATTCTGCCGCCTGTGGCGGCGCCTGTGGTGCGGTGGGAAGCGACCATGCCTCGCAGACTTGTGGCGTGGTCGCTTCCCACTGCAGCACAGGGGCCGCCACCGGCAGCAGAAGCTCCGGGACTGAGTGGAAGTTCTCTGCGCAAGGTGAAACCTCACAAAGGGGGAGAAGGAGGAGAGGAGGGCTGTCTCCTGCCCACAGCGCCTCCCGATTCCCACTGGTACCGTTACTCACCAGTTAAGCTAAGCAGCAAGCAAAAGACAAAATGAAATGGAGATTCACGTGGCGTGCTAAGCTAAGCGGACTCCAGCCAATCAGTGAGCGGCAGGCTGGGCTGGCTTAGATTTTTAGTGTAGATGGAATGGAACGAGCTAGTGAGCTAGCAGCTGATGGGCGGGGGAGCGAGCGAGCTGCGAGCGCCAAAATAAAGCGGGTTTTTTTAAGAACGGCCTGGGACGCAGGAAAAATTATGGGAAGGCGTGCCTGTCCCGCCAGATGCAGGATGTCTGGTCACCTTACCCAAAGAACAAAAGAAAAAAGAAAGCTGATAAAACATATTTAATAACTCATAAAAGAAATAAAAGAATTAGCACAGAAAATTAAAGTGGCCAAACAAAATTACTTTGAACAAGCCTGGATGGTGGCTGGCATACAGATTAAAAAATGAAAGAGAAAAAAGAATTATATATCAATTAAACGATGACGAAAGAAATATTCAACATAAATCAGAAGAAAAGAAGCAAATTATACAAAAATATTTTACAAAATTATACACGCAAGATAATATGGCAGGAACTAAGATAAAACAATACCTAAACTCAGAAAAGATAAACCCAATCTCGAAAGAACAAAGGGAGGCAATAAATAGGCCAATAACAACAGTGGAAATAGAATTAGTCCTGAAGCATCAGAAGAACAATAAAACCCCAGGACCAGACGGAATCCCAGTGGAGTTATATAAATATAATCAAATAATATTGGAAGAATTAGGACTGGAAATGTTTAATGAGGTTTTAGGAAAAGCTAAGGTGCCTGAATCATGGATGGAAGCAATAATATCGCTAATCCCAAAAGAAGAAGCCAACTTACAAGAAATTCAAAACTATAGACCAATCTCACTATTGAATTCCAAGTACAAACTATTTGCAGCAATTATGACAGAAAGAATTAAACAAGTGCTAAATGAACAAATACACCCAGATCAAAATGGATTTTTACCTCATAGTCACATTAAAAATAACATAAGAGTCATCCTAGATAAATTAGAATATTATGAGGCACATCTGAAAAACAATTAATACTGGTTTTCCTTGATGCACAAAAAGCATTTAACAACATAATTTAGAAGTTTATAACAATTCAATTAGATATGATGAAATTTGGAGAGAAATTTACAAAAATTATGGAAAAAATATATAATACCCAGACAGCCAATGTTCTGATGAATGGAGACCTTAAAATGGTAACTAAGAATATGACAAAAAAGCAAGAAGAGGAATTGGAATTAGTGACTAAAATGCAAACAATTAAGAAAGTGAAATACTTGGGGATTTGGATGTCGGCAAAGTGTTCTACAATTAAAGATGATAATTATAATAAATTAATGATGCAAATAAAGAAAGATCTAGAAAGCTGGAAAAATATTCTGTTATCACTAATGGGACGTATAGCCACAGTTAAAATGAATATTCTATCAATAATTTTATTTTTGTTACAAGCTGCACCTATAAATCCTGATAAAACTTTTTTCCAGGAACTAAATAAATTAACATCTAGGTTCATTTGGCAAGGGCAAAAACTAAAGTCAATGCAAGACAGCAAGGAGAGAGGAGGCTTAGCTCTACCAGATTGGGAGCTATACTCATAACCGACTACACTAACATGGCTAAAGGACTCGATAGAGTTAAAAAATAAAAAAATCTTGACCTTAGAAAGTCATGATTTGCAAGTAGGTTGGCACATATTCTTATGTGACAGTAAAAACAAAACACATAAATACTTCCGATAACATATAATTAAAAATGAGTTATTACAAAACTGCTTCAAAATTTTTTAAAAATCACTGTTTGAAAATCCCGAATTGGATATCTCCAACAGAAAGAACGACACACCCAAACTTTACAGATATGAACAAAGTAATATGATACAGAGATTTAATTAATGGACAGGGAATTCTGAAAACAATCAAGGAATTGGCAGAACAAAACATGAAAGTCGATTGGCTAACCTACTTGCAAATCAAAGCTAAACACAATAATGATATTAAAACATATGAAATCCTAATGGAACCACACGAATTAGATAAAATAATTCAGAGCACAGAAAAGGAAGAAGATAGGGAGAATATATATATTTCTTCTGAAATATAAAATGGAAGAAGAAATAGTGAAGGAGCAAATGGTAAGATGGGCCCAGAACTTTGGCTACAATATCGAATTGGATAAATGGAAAAAAATT